CAAATATATATATATACATTTAATATTATTGAAGAAGAAGAAGAAGTTGAAATGCTTCTCTCTCTCACACACAACAAAATATTATATATGCATATTGTAAATTACTTGTAAACATTTTTTGGACTGTCCTAGAAGAAGATGAAGAAGCAGCACACACATTGTAGTAACTAAATCTCGTTTATCGATTTGGGGATTTTGAGTAATCGAAATCGCTACCCAAGCCCATAAGAAATCATTTCTAGGCAGCTTTGCCAAAACCAAAAAAAAACAAACAAAAAAAACTAAGAAAATTGAGTAGGCAACATCTTTGCTGGCCCAAAGTGCAGTCAGCTAGTAAATTTTTCTATGTTCTAAGTCGATAAACCGATACAAAAAAACAACAACAAAAATATCGAACTCGATCCGAAAGGCTTTTAGCAATGCGTCCATGGACTGATTGTTGAAAGTGTTGTCGGTTATATATATATACATATATATACTTATATAGTACGATGCAAACAACCCGATGTTGATGTGCGAAGTAAATAAGTAAAACAAAAACAAAATCAGCTTTAAGCGTACTGTTGAATTTTTTCTAGCATTTTCCCTGTTAACGTTCGTTATGTGTAGAAGAAAATGCTTTATACGATATTATTTGTAGAACTGCTCTATATTGTTAAAAGCAAATCTGAAGACAAGCTACAACAAAAACTACAACTACAACATTAACAACTACAACTACAACAAACAACTTCATGCACAACACTCTATTGGTAAACCGGATCAACAAAAGCAACAACAACAACAACCAAAATGAAATGCGTCCTTGTAACAAAATCAATTTCAGTCAATTAGATGAAAAAAATGAAAAACAAAACAAAACTAAAAATGTTACAGTAAAATAAACAACAAACAAACACAAAGAGCAACAAAAAAGACAAGCAAACACATTTTTTTAAACAAAAATAAAACATGAAAAAAAAAATTGATAAAAAAAAAAAAACATTTTTCATTATTTTTCTACTGAAGGCGTCGTCAACGTGAACAGGAAAACTTGACGGCGCAGGCGCAAAAGCTTTAAATTTGAGAATAATATAAACAAAGAGTAAAAGTCTCTAGAGGAAGAGAGAGAGAGAGCCTAAGAGGAGAATAATATGTATAAACAAATATAAAAACAAAAACAAAAATACATAAGTACATGCCGTAAAAGATTTTTTAACTTTAAGCCAAAAACGCCGTTTTTTGAGTCAAAAGTCAATTTTGTGCTTCACGAAAAAGGAGAAACAGTATGGAAGAAGAACACAAAAAGTAATATGTAAAATAGTTTTAAATGAAAAAAACAAAAAGAAGTAACATAAAATATGAAGAAAAATACAATTACGAAAAGACAGAAGACAAATGTGTAAAAGTTCTTGGTAGCTACTTATATACGACTTACTTTCCGTTTAATGCTCTTAGCTCTCTTGATTATCATTATGATTATGATTATTATGATTATTATTATTCTATTGTCTTATATAAACATATCAGTTCTAATTATGTGTATGAGTAAATCGACAACAAAAATATACGAGATATAAACGAGATACAAATTGAAACAAATGTCTAGCGATGTTTCTTTTTACCATATGCAACATACTCAAACACACTCACACACACACACACAAGCATACCAAACGCTGAGAATCACATAGAACGGCGCAAGACAATGCTTTTATATGATAGCAATCAATTATTGTCACAAACATTTCGTAATTCAGTTTTTTTGTTTATACACATTCATATGTACATACACACGCACACACACATACACACACAACCACTCACATACACATATACACATACTCACACATACTTGGTAAAGAATTGCATACAAAATAACCTACATACGAACGATCACTTGACTATTTTTGCTATAAGTAAGAAATTCCCCCCAGGAATATGTCAGTTTGCAGTTGGTACTCCTGCTGACAAAAACACCTTTACTATATTGACAATATCTCTTATATATTTTACACTATACTATACGAAAAAAAAAAACAACAAAAACAAAAAATATATATATTAATATATACAAAAAAAAATGAAAAGAAAAAAAAAAAACAATTATGAAATACATGAGAAATGTTTAAGATAAAGATAATGACAAAGGACGGCAGTGAAGTTAAAATTGTATTTACAAATGCGTAACCAGCAAAAATGAAATCATTTTAATACTTTATACACAAGTCGAAGGAATCTTAAAAATTATGTATATATACATATATATATATGTATGAAGAAAATCCCAAAATTCAACAGAAATGAAGATACATTTATATAAAACGCGTTAATAAAGCGTAAGACAGTTTGTAAGTATTCTACTATGTAAGTAAAAGTAATTAAGAAATGGATGGAAAATCAATTAAAAAAACACATACACTCAAATACACACTGGATCTGGAATGCGTATACTTTACAAAAAAATAAAATAAAAGGGAAGAAAGGAAAAGTAAAGGAAATTTAGTCTAGATACTAAGTCCCAGCTGGACACATTTGGGCATCGAGTGATGATTGAGAATGTAATAGAGCGGCATTGCTAATGTGTGTGTATATATGTATGTGTATGTATACATATATGGTATATGCGTGTAGGACAGTGTAATAGCTATGCGACAACTGGTACAGTACTATATACACTTACAGCAAACTATACAAGGTAAAAATTATAACAAAAATTTAAAATAATTTATAAAGAGAAAACAAAGCGTGCGAAAAGCCATACACATAAATAGAAAGCATAACGAGAATTTAAAGAGGAAAACAATTTTTTCATTTCTATAAAGAAATCCGGTAACGAATTTGTATATTTACTACAAGTATGTATATATATATATGCAATTATATATGAAGAAATAAAAAAGGCAAACAGAAACTTCATACGAACGCAAAATATATGCCCATATATACATACATATA